CACCGCACAACCAGTCCAACAACCGCAACAATAACTCTGGTAAGCGCTATAACCAGAACAATTCTTACTGGCAGCCCTCGCAGCACAAAAACAGACCCGATGGTCGCTTTTCAAAGCCGTATTTGGGCAAGTGTCAGCTGTGTCAAATCACCGGACATAGTGCCAGACGTTGTCCACAACTTCAGTCACTTCAAGCTTCGCAGAATGCTCCGAGCTCTCCGTTTCGTCCTTGGCAACCTAGAGCAAACCTTGCCGTTGGCTCCTCTTACCCGGCTGCACCGTGGCTACTTGATTCGGGTGCCACTCACCATCTCACGGCTGACCTCAACAACTTGGCACTCCATCAGCCATATAATGGTGGTGACGATGTCTTAATTGCGGATGGGTCGGCAATGTCGATCTCTCACACGGGTTCCACCCTCCTTCCTAATCAAACACGTGCTTTATTACTCGATAAAATACTATGTGTTCCTGATTTACACAAAAATCTTATTTCTGTGTATCGTTTATGCAACACTAATCGAGTTTCGGTTGAATTTTTCCCTGCCTCCTTTCAGGTGAAGGATCTCAGCACGGGGGTCCCATTACTCCAAGGCAAGACTAAGAATGAGTTGTACGAATGGCCGGTCCCGTCATCTCATGCTATGGCAATGGTTTCTGCATCCGGTCCAAAGACTTCTCTATCCTCTTGGCATTCAAGATTAGGACACCCATCTTTTTCGATTTTGCAATCTATTCTTTCAAAGCACTCTTTATCATTTTCTTCTTCAAAACAAAAACACTTGTCTTGCTCGGAATGTCTCATTAATAAAATCCATAAGCTACCCTTTTCTCAAACAACCATTGTCTCAAATTCTCCACTTCAATACGTTTTTACGGATGTGTGGACCTCTCCCGTTTATTCTGTTGAAAACCATAAATACTACCTAGTCTTGGTTGATCACTTCACCCGCTATACTTGGCTATATCCACTCAAACGTAAGTCTGATGTTAAAGACATATTCCCAGCCTTCAAAGCACTTGTTGAAAACCGATTCAAATGCCGCATAGGAACACTATTTTCAGACAATGGTGGAGAATTCGTAGCTCTTCAAAGCTTCCTTGCAACTCATGGCATCTCGCATCTCACCTCACCACCGCATACACCTGAGCACAATGGTCTTGCTGAACGCAAGCATCGCCACATCGTTGAAACGGGCCTTGCATTACTCTCCACCGCATCGGTTCCACACGAATATTGGTCATATGCTTTTTCTATTGCAGTCTACCTCATTAATCGAATGCCTACGCCGGTTCTCTCAATGGAATCACCATTCCAGAAGCTATTCGGGGATACACCAAACTACGAAAAACTCCGGATCTTCGGCTGCCTTTGTTTCCCTTGGTTAAGGCCATACGTCAATCACAAACTTGAGAATCGCTCCCAGCGTTGTGTCTTTCTCGGTTATTCTACTTCGCAGAGTGCTTACTTCTGTTATCACATCCCAACTAAACGGCTGTATGTCTCGAGGCATGTTGAGTTTGATGAAGCCGTGTTCCCATTTGCAAATTGCAACAATGGAAAAGGTGGTGAGATATCATCCCCGACTCTCACCTTCCCGCTGACTACACTGGCTCCGACTACGCCGGTGCTCCTTCCGCCGGAAATCCCATCTTCGCCAAGCTCCATTCCGGTTGACCAACAACAGCCGCTTACTTGCTCCTCTGTTCGTGATGTCTTGATTGGAGAAGAAACAGATCCACTTAACAGATCAGATGCTGTAATGGGCCCAATTCAAACAGGCCCAATAACAAATAGTATTGAGGCCCAGCAACACTATTCTTCTCCAGCCAGCCCAAGAACAGATGCTATTCCATCTTCTTCACCGTCTCCTTCGAGACCCGACGACACCACAACCTCCATTACTACAGCTTCGTCTTCGTCACTGTCATCGGGACCCCCACGCTTGGACCTTCACCTGCCACAGTCGTCGCCCGCGTCATCACCACAGGTATCGTCTTCTCCTTCACTCTCTTCCTCTTCTACAAATTCTGAGCCCACTGCTCCATCTATACATGAGTCGCAGACCTCGACTCAGCAAACCTCTACTTCAAATGAGCCCACTGCTCAGAGACAAAATGAGTTGCAACCCACAACTCAGCGACAGTCACAATTAAATTCCCGAAATCCACACCAAGCCGTGCTTTTACAACCACAGAACCAAAATAATGA